AGCGGTTTTCTCTGGGCAATGATGAATCAGTCAGTCAGTCAGTCAGGACATGTAATTTTATATGTATAGATTTATTTTATGTATCTATGATATATATTTGGGATTGCATAAAATGTTCTCAGGCAAATGAGGTTGTGAATGGGAAAAGTTTAAGCCCTGATCCTAGATCAAACTCATAAATGTATGTAAATTCTAATAGGTGATTTAGCTGTGCTTGTGTGGATGTGTAGTGTGACCGGCAGCCATATATATACAGTGATACCTCGACTTACGCTACCCCGACTTATGCGATTTTCAAATCTCGTCGATTCGTCTTTTGTTTGAGCACCACGCAACTCTTGATTACTCATTCCCTCCACACTATTGTTCAACTTACATGTTCGGACATGTCATGCAGAATTGACACATAAATAACACAAAATAAATTGTAGCTATTTCTGTGTTTGTTATATCTACGGAGACTCGAGAGACTCTGTGTGGTGATTTCTTGTAACAATGAACGAATCAAAAGACGAGATAAGATTAACGAGAACATTTATTAGCTTACATACATCCGACTTGGATTTTACATACATTGCGAAATTATACCCCGACATATGCAAATTCAACTTACACGGTTATTGTTTGGTCCCACCTATCGCATAAATTTGGGGTATTACTGTATATGTATATATTGAAACATGTATATTTGTATATAGTCGTAATTCTATTCTATTTCTATTTCTTTCTTCTATTCTGTTCTGGAACTTTCCAGGACGACCATTATTGCCTTTGGGTAGGATTAGCCATTCCAGGAACAAGGAGAGAACAATAGGAGATAAGGTGACTGGGTGGAAAAACAACTGGTGAATGGATCAGTTTTAGACTGGAGACCGAAGGAGTCAGAGGTATTGTTAAGAAGGTATAAGAGAGATTTCAACAAGAAGAATGAGAAGACAAAGACTGTTAAGAAAGAAGGTGTAGAAGGAACTTACATTAGCGAAAAGCCCAAGGACGCCTTTAAGAATCTAAGAAAACTGTATAGTTTGGTACGGGGAAAGAATCGTACCTAGACATTGAATTGGAAAAGAGGATCCGATACTCAAGAATCCTGAGATCACCAAAGGAATCATCAAGACGGCAGGAACAATAACCTCTGAAAGAGCTCCTACCCAAAGAGCATATCGGCGCAGATGACAGAACAAATCCCAGGTGACTGTAAACTTCCATAAAAAAAAAAAAAAAAAAAAAAATTGTTACACGACTATTCTGTGTGTGAATTACTAATATATTCCCAATTTGTTTACCAAACAAGAATCCTTACGTGATGTACAGTACCTTGGTCTTTGTATAGTTTACAAGAACAGTTGGAATTCCTAAAAAAGAAAATAATAAAGAAAAGATTGTATAAAAATAGGAAGTTTTTGTGTGTCCTTTCTTTTGTACGTCTCCCTCACGGATGTTATGTCACATAATGAACGACCACAGTAGTTTGTCATCCATATACAGTACATGAGATGAGATATGTGTTGTGTTGTTCTGTTGTGTTTGATGTTGTAACTGTATTTAGCATTATTTAACCAATTATTTAAACAATGGCCAGACAAAACTAAAGTGATCTTAATGAATCTTCTTGGAAAATGCCTTGCCTTATGTGTATTTGGTTTGTTTTGATGCATGTGCTGTGAAGTCTGAGGTATAGTGTTGTAACACCAACTGCCATAAATCATTGGGCTATAATTTGGCAATAATAATAATAAATTACAAATAAATTTGGTCCTAGAGGGAGGCATTAGGCACCATCTTGTATTAAATTTAATAATTATAATTTAATATGAGATGGCGCCTAATGCTTCTCTCTAGGCCCAAATTTATTTGTAATTTATTATTATTGCCAAATTGTAGCCTGATGATTTATGGCAGTTGATGGTGTGTTATTGCAATGTATTGGATTTAGTAAAGTCGTTTATATTTATGTGTAGTGTTGTTTTCTAGTATTGCTTAATGTCTTCTAAAAATATAATGTTGGATGTATTTTGTATGGAGGTAATGTATGCAATAACCATGAGTGTATGATGCTATCAAATGCCTTCCTATAATCCATATATAAGTTTCTGTGTTGTTTGTGTATTTGTTGAAGAATGACTAAATCTGTGAATAATTGTTGTTTGCATCCCATTTAGCTTCTGTGACAGCCTTTTTGTTATTCTGTGACAGTCAAATGTTGTGTTGCTCTATGTGACAGTACAGTGATAGCCAGGGATTACAAGGGAACAATTTTTTGCAATTGTTGCAAAAAATTGTTCCCTTGTAAATTGTTGCAAAAAATTGTTCCCTTGTTCCTTTTTTTAAAACTGAAATTACTTTTACATTTACCTGTATACAAAAATTAAAGTCGGTCACCAAATAAGTATAAACTTAAAACTGTAGTTTTAAAATATTTAGTAATATAACAAAATATGATTTTTCCCTTTCATAGTCATATGAAACTAATGACTCAAACCTGTGTGATTTGTTCAGTGTCAATGTATTCATGTAATTATTATTTATATACTAGATTTATTTGCTTTAAACTAATCATATACAAGAAGTGACAGGTTTAAAATATATATATAATTTGTGTATTTTGCATTGTAGTTTATTCAAACAATATTCCATACTTAATATTTTAGTTGTACTGTATCTCTGTGTAAATTTCTATTTACTGGGATTGTATATTTCATTTGTGATGCATAAAGTAAATATTTTGTAGAGTGTAGGAAGGCATGTGATTGGTCTATATCAGTGTTTCTCAATGGGGGCGATATAGCCCCCATGTGGGCATTTTTCCATGTTGAGGGGGCGATTTGTAACAATTTATATTTTGGGTGGTGAAAAACAATTTTCTGGGCGATATAGTAAAACATTATATTAAGAATAATTAGATATTTTATTCGTTATATCGTACAATAATTAAACAAATAACATTATACTAGTCACTAGTCTATTCAATGTAGTACGAATTTGGCATTAGCCTTAGCCCTCGGCATCGGAATTTTGAAGTGAAGGGGGCGATACTACGTTGAAGGGAGTGACGATTCGTTACAGGTTGAGAAACACTGGTCTATATTGTTATGGTCTTTGATGATGTCATTTTTTGTTTCATGTATATGATGCCCCACGTAAGAAATTTTGGCATGTCTTATGGTTATTGATTGTGTGTGTGAAATGTTTAGCTAGTTCTTGTTGCAGAAATATAAACTTTTCTTACTAAAAATTGTGAATATTGTCTGCACCTGATTTCTTCCAACTCTGTATTCTTTTTACTATTTGTGGATTGTATCAAAGAGCAGACATATAGTCAGTTGTTTTTCTATTGTTGTGCCATTGATCTGTTATTATGTGGTGGGTTTGGTATGTAGTTGTCTGTAGAAAAGTGGAATTTGTTTTCATTGTTTGTGAATACAGTGGGTGATCGGTTAACGAACATAATCCGTTCCAAGACTTTGTTCGCTATGCGAATTGTTCGTTAACCGATTATCGATTTACCATAGGTTTTAATGCGAATTTAATTAATTCGTTCTAGAGACCCCCAAAAATAAAAAAATATATACTTTCTTACTACGTTTATTTATATGTAATAATAAAAATACATGCATACACAGTCTTGTGTTTTTATTAGTCATGTTTTTTTCTGTTTGAATCTGTCTAATGTCGATTGCTTTTATCTCTTCTTCAGGATTTTTCGTAAGTAATTGCAATTGTAGAAATCCCCAACCCTCAACCTGGTTTGGATGCCATTCTAACACCGTTGTTCTGACATCCTCCCACTTCTTCAAAGGATCTTTAATTAATAACAGATATCGTCATTAATCCTCTTTTTCAGAAGAAAGTATATCTCGCCGAGTTTCTTAGTGTTTTTCATTCAAGAGTTCTTGGCGTTCTTCTGTCGTCAGATCCGTTTCCGGTTCCATTATGAACTCTTCGATGTTCTTTATTTCTCAGATGTGATTTTTGTTACTCCTTTAGCTGCTTGAGTCTTCTTGATTATACAGTATTTTTCTTAGATAAGATTGAACTGCAACCTATTGTAGACCTGTTCACGCCAAACTGCCCAGCAACATTAGGTATCTTCTGCCCACTTTCTACCTTTGCTATTATACTCACCTTTCGAAAAGAAAAACAGATGCAAAACTTAACGTGTGCCTACCCGACAGTCTCGCAAATACATAAAAGAATTGTTTTGTCAGAAAAATAAAAGGCTGGAATTACAAGGGAGAGTTTCAAAGTTCGAAGAAATGCTATCCAATTGGTATATACCGGCTTGAGCGTCGATTTCGACGTCTCCCACACTCCGAAAAGTTTCGAATTGTTGCCCGAAGACAAGGGAAGACCAATCGATATTCATTATTTTACGTCGCTTCTTCTTGTTCTGTGGGGTGTTCGTTATCTGATCACATGTTCGTTGTCCGATCATAAAAATCTTTCGCGAAAGTGTTCGTTATCCGATCTGTTCGTTAACCGATCACCCACTGTAATTTATTTTATTGTTTTTGTAGCATTTGGGCTTTGTACCATTTCAGTCTTTGTGACTTAGCTGCTAGTTTGAGCATGTCAATGTATTCCTGTATAGGCACATTGTGTTGTTTGTGTTGTGTGTTTATTTTAATTTTCCTGATTATTTTCTTAATCTCTTTCATTATTAAGTTTGGTGTTATGTTGTTTTTAGTGTATTGTATCAACCTGCCTTTCTAATGTTTTGTATTTGTGTTTCTAGTCTTCTTTGCCCTGCTGGCTTATGATTTGTATTTGTTTTGACTGTGCCTGTTTGTGAATGTAGTTTAAACTACACTCACAAGCAGCCATGATATGTACTATAACTACAGTGATTGTATTAGAATACACTAATATATGCATGTCTGAAAGTATTGATTCTGGTTGAATGTGTTTTGGTAATGTTTGTGTGTATTTAGGGAGTGTAGTTTTCCTTACTTGTTTTGATGTGTATATTTTGGATATTTACAGTCTGTGTGCAGGTTTAAGCCTGTATATTTAGTGTGTATATCTTGAAATTTAAACTAAAATTTTGTTTTAGTTCACTTTGTCTAAATTTAAAGTTCAACAGCAAAATTATTTTGTATCTTTCATTTCATTTTACAGGTTTGAATCTATTAGAATGTGATTATCCTCAATTTGGCAGCTGGGAAAAAAGTCAAAAGAAGTTTACAGAAATATTTGAATCAAAAACACAAGAAGAATGGTGTAAAATATTTGATTATAAAGATGCTTGTGTAACTCCAGTTCTTTCAATGAAAGAAGCCCCTTTTCATTTTCATAACGATGCACGTAAATCTTTCACAAGTTTAGATGGGCAGAATTATTTTCCTCAGCCTGCTCCCATTTTGTCCAGGACACCTGGTGTTGTAGCTGAAAAAGAGCCATTATATGGTGAGCACACTATCGACATATTAACCAAAATCGGATACAATGACGATGACATAAAACAGTTCCTGAAAAATGGTGTAGCAATGTCTAATAATATTACTTCAAAATATTAATTTTATATATGTAATTGTAATTTGAAAAATATAATAGAATATAATATTTTGAAAATATTTATATTTTTAAACAGAATAATATATTTTGTTAATAATAATTGTAAAATGTTTTTAATTATTAAATTGTATTTTTTAAATAAATAATTGTGTTTGAAAATAAAAATATTTAAAACAATAATAAATAAACACTATTTACAGTTTCTTAAGCAAATATTCTTTAAATAATAATTTCTTATTTTGAAAATTTCATTTTAGAAAAATGTTGTTTAGATCTTGAATTATGATTAAAGTAAAAATAAAAATGAATGTATTTTCATCTATTCCATTACTTCTAAAATGAAAAAATTTATGCAAAAAAAATAAATTAACAGTTCCAATACAAAGTACAAATTGAATTTTTAATAATTTAAGAGCAAAGTGATTTTGAAGTAGACTAAAACTACAAAATGTGTATTACACATTCATAAATATATAGAAAACCAAGTACAATAGAATCTTACTAATCTGGCACTAGTATAAACCAGCTATTGAAAGATTACTGAAATTTAGGTGTAGAGTAAGTAAATAAAACATGTATGTCTTGTAGAAAAGGGCTGGCAGAATTACAATTTATAATTATATTATATTATATTTTTAATTGTGTTGGGATTGTCACCTGTGGACATTTTAAACTGTTTTGCATATTCGTGCAGAGGCATAGCCTCTAAAGAAAGGTTGTCTCTGCAATAGAAATAGTTGTTCCTGGTAATTGGACATGGCAAGCAAAATTGGACTCGTATCCATTTGTGATGTATTTTACTTTTTATTAAAAACATGTATTACATGCAAATTGCCATAACCTGTATTATTAAATCTTTTAATATACAGTAATTAATTACAGAAAACTTCATACAGTATTCTAAGGTTAAAGTGTACATTTATATGCTATTATGTATTTTGTATCAAAAAAGTTATTGCTTAGAAATACAGTTTTCAATATATGTTTGTCTCTTTGCAACTATCCTAGCCTTAAATACCTTTTCATAATCTTTGTAAAAGCATGGCTTCTTCAGCAGGAACTCTATTTTCTTATATCTAGATTTCACAATTATTAAAGCTTTTTAAGGCAACATCTGGTTTAATGATTATAGAACTTGGTGTATCAGTTTCACATACAGCTGAATGATCTTCACATATTTCATTATCTGTCATAGATTGATTATTCTCCTTAGTGTGTCTTGTCAACCAATCTCTCATTTCTTGTTTGCTTTTTTGAGGTGGTTGTCTTAATCTTCCATCAAATCAATAATGAATAAACTATCATTAGCATGTTATGTTAACATATCTATGTTTGGCCAGTTTCTTCCATTAAGACCTGATCTCACTGGAAAGAATAGAGTTCAAAGAATCAGAGAAAACTGCATTTTCAAATTTAATTTGTTAAGATCTAACTTAATGTCTCCAACTTTAGTGATTATGTCCAATAGAAGTTTCTTTTTGTAACAACTTTTTACCATTTGTATGACATTTTGATTATTAGTTGAAATAATGGTGTGCAGTTGAGTGGCAAAAACATTGCTTGAACAATACCATCACTAGATTTGAGATAAACTTCATTTGGATGGTCAGAGGTATTATCCAATACCAAGAGAGTCTTTTCAGGTAATTTATTAATTTTCATAAACATTCTACACCTGGAATGAACTCATAGAACATATCACTAAAATCTTCCATAATGACTGAACTTTTTGACTGATTTTTGTAGCATACTTGCAAGTAAAAAAGCTAGTATTTTTTAGCTGTAGCATTTTTAAAGCTCTAGGATTTTTAGCTTTACCAATGACTAGCAATTCAAACGTGTATTCTGGTTGCGTTGACATGAATGTGATTTAGTGTTGTGTGTTGCCACCTTTTCAAAATTGTTGACCCGGACAGAGTCAGAAATTTATAAAAATTGGCAACATTGTCTTGAACAGGTCATAACCATTTTTGAAATTTGTTTTGTGCCAGCCAATCTTTATTAAATTTACAAGTTTGCTTCCTTTTTTTTTAGGGCTTTCAATTTCTTGAGTTGTCATATTAAATAATTACAATAGAAATTATAAACTTGTAAACTGAAACTGTCACATTAGCTTTACAATAGGTTTGTTCTAACACAAGTCCCTAACTGGTTTGAATTTGAAACTATACCAGGCATGCGCAATTTCATTTTACAGCCAAGAACTGAACAATGCATATGCTAGTTTTAAACCAGTTAGGGACTTGTGTTGTAATAAACCTAATATTTGCAAATTAGAATTTTAAAAGTACATTTTCTGTCACTCAGCCTAGAGATAAGATGGAGATAACTTTGGGTGGGGGTGTGAAGTTAGTCTTTAGCCGTTAAAATAAAATAGCAAATGTTTTTATAAATTTAATTTGTTTTATCACAATTTCTACAAAAACCATACAAATTAATAATTAATCCGGACCATGAATTTAAAAACAGGCTTGTCCAGGTGAAAACTGGCCTGGTGGCAACACTAATGTGATTTTATCCTTGCTTACCTTCAGACCTGGGTCACTTTGGGCAGTAATCTCCAAAACAGTCCACAAAAGTCTCTTTCCAATGAATGTTTCTGGTGATATCAAAAAGATGAAAAAACTCCAAAAACAATGTATTTACTAAAATTAATACCAAAAAGATGTTTTACAAATATATAACATCCCAAAGCCCGATGTATTAATACCAAACCAAGTGACAGCCTTAATTAATCAAGCTTTTTTATGTAACAATTAATAATTAGATGGCGCCGAACGTCTACCTCTAGTACCAAATTACTTAATTTCTAATTTTTAATTGTTACATAAAATATGCAACAATTATATAGCAGTATGCCCTAATAATAAATTAAAACACGAAAGCTATAAATAAAATATGTAAATGCTATATAATAAACTGAAAATTGCATTTACTGGTCACACACCGTCGACTTTGGCATTTTAAATATGGCCGACGGATTTAAGCAAATATTCTTTAAATAATAATTTCTTATTTTGAAAATTTCATTTTAGAAAAATGTTGTTTAGATCTTGAATTATGATTAAAGTAAAAATAAAAATGAATGTATTTTCATCTATTCCATTACTTCTAAAATGAAAAAATTTATGCAAAAAAAATAAATTAACAGTTCCAATACAAAGTACAAATTGAATTTTTAATAATTTAAGAGCAAAGTGATTTTGAAGTAGACTAAAACTACAAAATGTGTATTACACATTCATAAATATATAGAAAACCAAGTACAATAGAATCTTACTAATCTGGCACTAGTATAAACCAGCTATTGAAAGATTACTGAAATTTAGGTGTAGAGTAAGTAAATAAAACATGTATGTCTTGTAGAAAAGGGCTGGCAGAATTACAATTTATAATTATATTATATTATATTTTTAATTGTGTTGGGATTGTCACCTGTGGACATTTTAAACTGTTTTGCATATTCGTGCAGAGGCATAGCCTCTAAAGAAAGGTTGTCTCTGCAATAGAAATAGTTGTTCCTGGTAATTGGACATGGCAAGCAAAATTGGACTCGTATCCATTTGTGATGTATTTTACTTTTTATTAAAAACATGTATTACATGCAAATTGCCATAACCTGTATTATTAAATCTTTTAATATACAGTAATTAATTACAGAAAACTTCATACAGTATTCTAAGGTTAAAGTGTACATTTATATGCTATTATGTATTTTGTATCAAAAAAGTTATTGCTTAGAAATACAGTTTTCAATATATGTTTGTCTCTTTGCAACTATCCTAGCCTTAAATACCTTTTCATAATCTTTGTAAAAGCATGGCTTCTTCAGCAGGAACTCTATTTTCTTATATCTAGATTTCACAATTATTAAAGCTTTTTAAGGCAACATCTGGTTTAATGATTATAGAACTTGGTGTATCAGTTTCACATACAGCTGAATGATCTTCACATATTTCATTATCTGTCATAGATTGATTATTCTCCTTAGTGTGTCTTGTCAACCAATCTCTCATTTCTTGTTTGCTTTTTTGAGGTGGTTGTCTTAATCTTCCATCAAATCAATAATGAATAGACTATCATTAGCATGTTATGTTAACATATCTATGTTTGGCCAGTTTCTTCCATTAAGACCTGATCTCACTGGAAAGAATAGAGTTCAAAGAATCAGAGAAAACTGCATTTTCAAATTTAATTTGTTAAGATCTAACTTAATGTCTCCAACTTTAGTGATTATGTCCAATAGAAGTTTCTTTTTGTAACAACTTTTTACCATTTGTATGACATTTTGATTATTAGTTGAAATAATGGTGTGCAGTTGAGTGGCAAAAACATTGCTTGAACAATACCATCACTAGATTTGAGATAAACTTCATTTGGATGGTCAGAGGTATTATCCAATACCAAGAGAGTCTTTTCAGGTAATTTATTAATTTTCATAAACATTCTACACCTGGAATGAACTCATAGAACATATCACTAAAATCTTCCATAATGACTGAACTTTTTGACTGATTTTTGTAGCATACTTGCAAGTAAAAAAGCTAGTATTTTTTAGCTGTAGCATTTTTAAAGCTCTAGGATTTTTAGCTTTACCAATGACTAGCAATTCAAACGTGTATTCTGGTTGCGTTGACATGAATGTGATTTAGTGTTGTGTGTTGCCACCTTTTCAAAATTGTTGACCCGGACAGAGTCAGAAATTTATAAAAATTGGCAACATTGTCTTGAACAGGTCATAACCATTTTTGAAATTTGTTTTGTGCCAGCCAATCTTTATTAAATTTACAAGTTTGCTTCCTTTTTTTTTAGGGCTTTCAATTTCTTGAGTTGTCATATTAAATAATTACAATAGAAATTATAAACTTGTAAACTGAAACTGTCACATTAGCTTTACAATAGGTTTGTTCTAACACAAGTCCCTAACTGGTTTGAATTTGAAACTATACCAGGCATGCGCAATTTCATTTTACAGCCAAGAACTGAACAATGCATATGCTAGTTTTAAACCAGTTAGGGACTTGTGTTGTAATAAACCTAATATTTGCAAATTAGAATTTTAAAAGTACATTTTCTGTCACTCAGCCTAGAGATAAGATGGAGATAACTTTGGGTGGGGGTGTGAAGTTAGTCTTTAGCCGTTAAAATAAAATAGCAAATGTTTTTATAAATTTAATTTGTTTTATCACAATTTCTACAAAAACCATACAAATTAATAATTAATCCGGACCATGAATTTAAAAACAGGCTTGTCCAGGTGAAAACTGGCCTGGTGGCAACACTAATGTGATTTTATCCTTGCTTACCTTCAGACCTGGGTCACTTTGGGCAGTAATCTCCAAAACAGTCCACAAAAGTCTCTTTCCAATGAATGTTTCTGGTGATATCAAAAAGATGAAAAAACTCCAAAAACAATGTATTTACTAAAATTAATACCAAAAAGATGTTTTACAAATATATAACATCCCAAAGCCCGATGTATTAATACCAAACCAAGTGACAGCCTTAATTAATCAAGCTTTTTTATGTAACAATTAATAATTAGATGGCGCCGAACGTCTACCTCTAGTACCAAATTACTTAATTTCTAATTTTTAATTGTTACATAAAATATGCAACAATTATATAGCAGTATGCCCTAATAATAAATTAAAACACGAAAGCTATAAATAAAATATGTAAATGCTATATAATAAACTGAAAATTGCATTTACTGGTCACACACCGTCGACTTTGGCATTTTAAATATGGCCGACGGATCCGTGAGACTTATGCATGCTTCGTGATAAGTTCCTTTTTCATCTTAATCATCGATATTCCAATCTATTCTTAGACTTCGTTGCTTCCACAAACTTCTCGGATGCCATGGTTAATTAAGTTTAACAGAAAGGTTTTGCGTATTTTCAACAGCTGTCGTTACTTAACATAGATGTTTGATTTAATTATAACAGTTGCGAAATTTAACACATTGCTAATATGAGATTGTATTCTTTGTTCAGAAGCTTATTTTAAACTTCACTTTACATTTTGTTTAAATAAATTCAAATATCTGCAGATAAAAGGATATCAGACATATTATGCTTTAAGAATTTCGGAAAAGATATAACGCCGAACATTATGAAACTTTTTTTTTTTAGTTTTTTTAATGTGTGTGGAGAAGGTGCTCCCAAACTTCCATGTCAAGTGTGGTTAAAAGTTCCATTCGGGAAATTTTGAACTAAAAGATACAAAACGTTAGGGGCGTCCAAAGCTGTTGATGCAGAAAAATTGCCAGAAGAAATTGTTAAAACCCGACAATTAACACACTATATATATATAAGTTATACATACGTACATACAGTACATACATACATACACTGCGCACGCAATTCGAACTCCGAAGCGAATTTTTGTCGAATTTAGCGTTCGAAGTACGCTGTATTTCGGGACAAGTAATATTAGAATTAATTGCAATAAATAAACATGTACTGTAAAATAAATGTGTTTAGATAATAAAAAATGAGTTTAGTAACGCGTAGACACGGGATATAGCCCAGCAGTTACCCAGAAATTATAACACCACAAAACTACAGTAAAGAATTAATTTTTTTTGTTACAATTAAACCAGTAAAGATTGAATGGAAGAAAGGGTAAAAATTTTATTAGACTGACGGTTCAATACGATGTAGGCTAATCATTTACGATATAGCTGAAAATGTTCAACTTACAAGAGCTTAAAACTGTCATAAAAATCAAATACATCTTTGTTGTTTAATGTACTGGTAGAATTCAAATAACACATGCAATAATCTGTAGATTAGAATTAATTTACTAATATTGGCAAGTTAAATCATTATTCAGATTTAAAAGTTACAAAAGTATTATTAATTTTATATATATTTTTTATTATTATTAGAATGCAATTAAATTAATATTAAACAAATTGGCTTTATTGTATGATGTGATAGATATATTTTATTTTTAGTTTAATCATGAGAAATAACAGAGAAAACGAAATTATGTACAAAAGATCAAGAAAAATTATAAAAGTTAAAATTTGTTGTCCACTGTTATATAATTTTCATCTGTAGAAATAAACTAATTAAATTAATTTCGATTCATTAAGATTAATTGAATACAGATTCAGTTACCGTTCTGTATCTAGAGAAGTGAAAATGTTAATCTGGAATGTGAAAAGTTTGAGTACTATAAACATTTCTCCTAGGCACAAAACTTTAGACAGCCGTCTGTTTTATCTACACTTAATTCGGTACTTCTGGACTTCGAATTAATTGCGCACACTATAAGTACACCAGGAAGTTGCTCGACAGTGGCCAAGTGGGTAAATTCACTAAACCGTAGTAAGTTGGTCGCAGGTTTCTGCCCGACCAACGGGCTGGCCGTGCGGAGTTTTCCGGATTTTTTCACGTCTATTTCCTAAACAGGGGCTTGTTTCTCATAGAAAGTCTTCCTGGGAGGTACCGCCAGGAAGACTTGTGTTTCCTTATCCCATCAAACAAAACCCCGCTAAGTTAATTAAGGTAGCATTTCCCAAACAGCTTGGTAAAGTGGAGCCGTTAAGCAAGGATCATATTTTGCGGAGCACTCGCAATTCATTGGCATCTTTTCCTATAAATTTGTACAACTGAAAGAACGAATGAGGCCACCAGACTAATTTTTAAACTTATTTCATTGAATTATTAAATTAAAATATATATAATTGTTTACAACTGTTTATTAATAAACAATTATATACTGTATACTTTATTTTATATTTATCATTCAATGAAACATTAGTTGCACTGTACAAATGATGCCTGATAAGGGCAAATGGCAACTACTGTTCTCAGGTGTACGGTCGACTCAAATAAATAATTTTTCACTTAAAAATACTGTAGTTATAAAGTAAACAAATAGCGCATTCGATTCATTTGAAAAAACTGAAGACCTTTAAATTACCACTGTCGTTTGTTCGTCCGTTGTCTTTCCTTAATCTCGAGAATGGAATTAGATAGATGAAAGACGAGACCAGTTATGGAAACCTTAGAGGCAGGAGACCCCGATTAACGTCCGATGCAAACCGGAAGTCATGTTCTTTCAATTCAAATATTTTCTTTAGAAATATATTAGTTAGATGACCGGCACGACTCTGTTGTTAAAGGAAAAGTATGAGTTACAGTGGCAAGCCACTACTAATTTGAGCTGGAAAGCATATATATTAATTTAAATTGATTAAAAATTGCAGCTCGGCATTGTGACGATGTCAAATAAATAATTGCTCGCTAACTTTACAAATATTTGCGGAACCCACTTTGGGAAACGCTGAATTAAGGAATAATTAAAATAATCGAAATCTTCGGTAGAACCTGAAAGGTTCAATATAAAAGTTTTTATTTAAAAAATTATACTATAACGATATTTTAATGTTTTAATAATAATATACTGTATATTGATCCTATATTTTATTATTCCAACATTAGATCGACGCAAATTGATTACAAAATTAGCAATTACTTTTATATAAAATACATATTTGAGCGATAATTCTGATTTCTCTTTCTTTTAATGTAAAAGAGATAATTCTCCTACGAATATTTCATAAAAAAAATAATAATTTATCTTTAAAAATTGCTAAAATTACTTACGACATAACATTCTATAAGACTAAAATTTCGTCTACTTTTAACAAATAACAATTGGATCCTTTGACATTTTATTTCAATGGAACTAAATTCAAAAATAAATTACCGGCATTTACACGAAAATTCTCAAATGTTCAAAACTCTAATTGTAGTTTATTATATCTATATATTGTACATGCAGTTTTATATTAAACAAATTTATATCTGAATTTAGTTATGTTTTAATCTTAAAATGATGCATAAATTAATATTTTTAAGCTTGAAATTTTCTAAATATATTTCGTTATAATCTTATCGACTTATTATCATTAACTCAAATTACGCGAACGAACTTCAAGTTACACCATATTGAAAATAATATATTACGTTTCCATTTTGTAAACAAATAACAATCGAGGAAGTAAATATAGGTCATAAACTTCGAAGGTCATTACTCCGAAAGATTCATCCATAAACTTGGCAACTTGCGTTACACGTTGGCTATCGAGCATCTGAGATGGGTCTGAGAGATGCATTCGCTTTAATATTCGAAGTTATTGACTTACTTTTTAAATCCTTGTTAATTACAATTCGTGGTTTAATAAGATTTGTCATTCCCACTGCGAGAAAATCGGTAAATGATGAAATCGTCTTAATTACCGGATCGGCACATGGTTTAGGAAAAGAGTTAGCCTTACAATTTTCAAAGTTGGGAGCGATCGTTGTCCTATGGGATATTAACCAGGTAGGATAAAATGTTGTCTTATTTTATATGAACCAAATACATATATAATAATAATATAGTATAAAATAGTGTTGTCATTTTTCAATTACTTTATTACAATGCTGGAAGTCTGTTAATCAATACTCTAACCTGACAGGATATTCAAATAAATTAATAATTTATAATTCACTATAATGTTTGCTCTTCTGTTAAATCGCAACTATTTTTATAGATAACTAGTGTTTAACATAAATATATTTTATTTAGTGTTTTCTAATTTAAAAATAATAATAATAATAATAATTGAAAACTTTTAATCCAGTCTGAGGATACAATGTATAATCCTTGGTTCCTATTTACAAGTTATTAAAATAAATAAGTGAGCATCAAAAAAGTTTTTAGTGTTTTGTTTTGAATTGTTATATGTGTATGATAGTTCAATATTGAAATTGTTATAAAAATTCAGATGTGTTATTCATGTTAAAGAAAATTTAATATAATATATAATCATTAAAATTTCAATAATATGAATATAAGAAAAATATTAATTATGAAGATGATATACTAGCCACTGTGATAACTAACTGGACCAACAGTGGGATCTTAGAAGAATGCCAGTTTTGACTTCCAAAATCTGAGGATGACTCATTAACTGGTTTGAAAACGATGTTCTAATATCCCAATGTTAAAGATGCAGTAATTAGTTGAGTAAATTAGACATAATTTGATATAGTTTTATAAGTAAAACTTATTTTATACTTTATTAAGTTGATTTTTCATGTAGCAAAATTATTAATTAAGATATATTCATCATTGTATTGATACAATAGCTTACACTTTAACAATGTTTTGGAAAATTCAATGTAAATATTAATAAGACTTTAATTTTTTTAAATATTATTATTGAATTAAACATTGTTTCATAAACCATGTTTTGTTTTTGGAAATCATTTTAAATTCAAATTAAAATTATGTCCATTACCTTAATCATGAATCATACATCAGAAGATTTGCATATATGAATAAATTTATTACCATTCTGCTTACAGAAGTTATTGAAAAATCTTTCCTTTTGGACTTTATCTGTCCAACTTCAGAATCCAAAAAATCTACCAAATTCTAATTTGAATGTTCTACCATATTTGGAAAAGCCCTTCAAAATTCGGATCTAATTGTGTTTGTACTCATTCTGAAATGGTTCATCATCTAACTCTCCTTGTTGTTTACTATAAATGATTGCATTAGCAATGACATAGTCCTTTGTAAAGAATGAGTAAAGACTACTATGATATTAGTAAAGAACAAAGTCACTAAACAACTTTTCTTGTTATAAAAGACTAAGCACCTGAAAGCACTTAAACTTTCCTTGTTTTAAAGGACTATTAGTGACTCCTGTAAACAGAAAGATAATGTTTCATTTATGTTATGGAGTTAGTTCATTATTCAAATAAATTCATTCATATTATAGAATCTTTTGAGCATTTGTTCCATTCATCATCAGATTATAAAACAACTAAGAGTATGCTTGCATTGTATCTTCATGAAAAGTGCAAAAGATGCTATAAAAAAAGCATTTGATATATAATTTAATTTTTTCCTGTAACAGATTAATTTTATTTTTACTATTATGATTTTCAATTAATTCTAATTGTATAAGTAATTTTGTAAATATGTAGATTTGTAATTGTTATGAAGATGATTCAGAAATAAAAGGAAAAGTTAAGTTGTTATTAAAAGTTGAAATAAATCTTTAACAATTTGAATTGTAATTATTACTATTATAATTTTCATCTGCATGGTCTGTGTAATTTTTATGATATTTTTAAAACTAAAATATCATAAAATAGCAAATAATAAAAATATTTGCATTGAAATAAAGGCATTTTTTTTGTCTTTTAGGAATATTATAAAATTTTTCCCTTGCATTGTATTTGAAACTGCAGTTGAGGGAGGCAGTTGAAAACATGATTTTATTTATAAATAATAATAACTACTAATTATATGATTATTTGCTTTTTAATAGGAATGGAATAATGCAGTTGCTAAAGAAATTAAATTGAAAAGTGGAATAGCATTCAGCTATCAATGTGATGTTACAGATGAAAAACAGGTCAAAATTTTAGCTCAGCGTGTCAGACGAGAAGTTGGAGATGTTACTATACTTATTAATAATGCCGGTATATTACAAGGACATCCATTGCTTAGTCTCAATAATCAACAGATAAGAAGAACAGTGGAAGTAAACCTTCTCTCTCAATTCTGGGTATCTAATCTAATTATTTCATAACTTCAGCATTAGTAAATTTAAAATGCATTTTGAATTATTATAAGGAATTATGTTGTTTATATTTAGAGAGATAAATTATTCTATTACATTTTATAGACAGTAAGAGAATTCCTTCCTCAAATGTTAGAGTTAGAACATGGCCATATTGTGGCAGTCTCGTCCATTGCTGGATGTCGCGGATGCATCAACATGACTGACTACAGGTAATAAAAAAATTTTTGAAAAAAAACTAAAAGTAAGTTGGAATGATTAGTGCATAATTTCTTTTCATTTATTAAAATTTAGTATCAAAAAGAAAAAAAAGTAAAGAAAGATATTGCAATTAAAATATGTATTTTAAGAATTTCCTAATCTATATTAGGGAAACAAGAATAAAAATTAAATATATTATGCAAAATGTTAATAATATGTAAATTATAAAAATTAATGTATAAATCATTTATATAAATAAGAAATTAAGAGAAAATTGTATTCATGTAATTGGTTAATACAGTATTTGCATTGGATCTACACATTAGATTCATTCATTTATTATGTGAGTAAAATATTATTTTCTTGGGTTAATTTTCATTTGAGAAACAAACATGAATCCAGTTAATTTTCTGGGAAATTTATTATATTTTGTTTATTTTCATAACAGTAATTATGAAGAAATTTCATATCAGAAACAGTACACAAATTTTAAAATGTAAATAAGATGAAAATTAACAAAAAACTTTCATTAATCCATATTATATAGCCAAGTCCCTATAAAGCAATATTTAGCAAAACAACAAAAAATATATTTGTAGAGAGATTTACTGTTACAACAAAGGTTTTTTAAAAGGTATTTCCCTTCTGTATTTATCTTTGTCCTACTACAAACAGGCCTATTTCTTTAAAGTTTGACAATGTTAGAACAGAAAAACATAGTCTTATTGGGTGTATTATTATTAACAAAACATTTAGGTGCTAAAACACTAAAAAAACTCTAAATCTAGCAACCTGCTCTATTGATGCCTACTGACTGTAGGTAATGTTTGTGCTGAAATCAGTGTATTAAGAGAATACTAAATTTTGAATTAACAAAACTCACTCAGCAAATAATAAACCACACAAATACACCTTAACTTGCTGAGAAAATTTATTTAAATGTAACTAACATTTTCAGCCTATCAATAGGCCATCCTCAGGTTAGATAAGAAAAAATAATGGTGTTCTAAAAATAGAATATATAAATTCAAATACAAAATTAATGGAAGAAGTACAACAAAATATATATACATGTTTAAATATAAGAGAAAATAATAATCAGATACAGTGGTACCTCAGTATACGTCTGTTTTAGAATATGTTTGATTCGGAATACGTCCTGTTTGGATGAAACAAATTTTGCTTGGTATACGACTTAATTCAATTACATGTGCCATCTATGAACAAGTAGCACTATTGGTGTACTAGACCAGACTAGGTGTTCGTGATGCCACAGTTTATAACTTTGTTAAATTTCTTCTGATTTTAATTTGTAAGTAAAATTTTATTATTTTTATTAATCATGAATTGCAGAAAGACAAATGAAAAGCAACAGAAAACTAAAAAAAATGACTAGAATCACAATGGAACTGAAAAAAGAGATTATTGAGAAATATGAAGGTGGCATGAGTGTTCAAGATTTAACTGTTGCATACCGTATTCTGAGAACGACGATATCAACAATCGTGAAAAATAAAGACATTATTAAATCTGCTAACGTTGCAAAAGGGGTTAAATCAATTTCTAAATAGAGATCAAAGACATTAGATCATGTTGAGAAATTGGTTTTGCTTTGGATAACTGAAAAACAGTGTGCTGGTGACATCGTATCAGAAGCAATTATTTGCGAGAAAGCTAAAAAGATTCATGCTGATCTCATGAAAAATCAATCAGGAAGTAGCCAGGAAAGCGAGGTGTTTCAAGCCAGCCATTTTTTTTTTTACATGAGAACGAATTAATCATTTTGACATTACTTCTTATGGGAAAGGTTGGTTTGGTATACATCCTATTCAGTATAAGTCCAAACATCAGGAACGGATTAAGGTCGTATACCGAGGTTCCACTGTATAATATTATATATCATATCTGATTATTATTGGAGCAGAGAAGAGTTTGCAACCACTCTTCTCTGCTCCAATGTGAGTCTGTCAGCCATGGATACTAACAACCTGGAATAGAAAACAAAACAAATAATCTGGAATAGAAAACCAATCTGGAAAAAATCCAATCTGGAATAGAAAACAAAATAATTTTGTTTCGTTTTCTATTCCAGATTGTTAGTATCCATGAAACATCTTAAGTTTCATTAATAATGTTTAATTAAAAATTAAGATTGTTCACATAATTTTGACTCACCCTGTACATTACATTATTCAAAAAATGTTCTCTTTCTAATACTTGTTTCATAGTTTAAATTTTTAAAATTCTATTAATATTGAAAGATGGATCATCATATCTTTTAGTTTTTCACTGTGCTTAGAGCTGTGATAGTCCAGCAACATTTTCTCTTATGTTTATTACTGCTTATTCCAGTGTTATTTCATGAGCTTTATGTATGGTCAATGAGTATGTGATCGAGATTGGAAATTGTCTTCTTATTCAATCCACATTGTTATCCTTCTATTTTGCTTGCATAAGTGTAGGAAATGTTTCATTTCTTATGGTCGGTCCCATATACTTATTGAATTTTATCATTATTTCCAGTGGTAATGAAGCTGGTTTCTTTCCTTCTCTGTATAGAATGTTCAACAAACATTTCAAGAGATCTGTTTACTAGGCCAGCATTAACCCATAGATTTTTTTTCTCATCATTATGCAATAACCAATAGATAGATATAATACTGATTGCAAGCCTTGAGCTTGTTTATTTATCTTATGCTTTTTTTGCAAAAATTCTATTATGTTTCACAGAAATTTTTGCAACCAATCTATTACTTTTTGCAAGGAATGATTTGTTTTACGATGTAACCATTTTGTTTGTAGGAAATAATCTTATAGAAAAATTTAAAGATTCCATATTTGATGAAGATAAAATTGCCTTTTTTTTTGTCATTAATGCTTCATATTCTTGCTACCTTGTCTTAGCAGATTTTTTTTCATTCCAGGCATCTTTATTTTTAAAAACAAAGCAAAAAATAGAATAATTAAACAAACAAAATAGTATTAAACAATTTACCTTTAGATCAAGTTGATTCCTTGATATGAACTCTTGATAGAGTATGGAGATAAATAAACACAGAGACCAAAATCCAGAAAAAGAAATTCAGAAAAAAACAATAGAAATTGAAAGCATTGTAAAAGAAATTCACTAATAAGAATTTTTGGAGAATGTATCAATAGATGAATAAATAGAAGTATGTGTAAAGGAACAGAAACAAACTATTTACATATGCCTTTTTACCTTAAATAACATGCATATGTAGAAAAAACACCATTGGTTTAAGAATTAAGTCTTTATAATATTTTATTTAACCACTTGACCAATTTCTACCAAAACTATATTCATCTCATATATATAAATAAGTTATTCTGAAAATTTCATGAATTTTGATTGTATAATTCTTTAGTTATTATGTCACGCAACTGTGGGCTTTCTGAAATTAAGGAGTCTTGCTTAACACTCAGATTAAATATGATTCAAGTGTATTACTGGCTTATACAGGGTTGGGCAGAAAGGACGGACATTTTTAAAAAAATCGCATCTGTAATTGTTACTACAAAAGATACTTGTTGGAAGAAAGTGAGCTTGTATTAAAATAGCATTTTACAGAATCAAGTGTGGAAAACAACATCTCCCATGTGGTGTCTGTTATCAGTGATATATTTCTGGAGACAATTTTGGCAACTTTCACGGGAATAGCTTTCTTCAGTTCTTGCAAAGAACAAGCTTATGCTCATTTACACATGCCTTGAGGTGTCCTCACAAGAAATAATTGCACATGGATAGGTTGGGCAAACAAGGAGGCCAATGAATGTCACCTGACCTGGAAATAAGGCAACCAGGGAAGAGATGATGAATAACGTCACTTTATGCTCTAGCTGTATGGGCCATCACCTCATCCTGTTGAAACCGTACATATCTGATGGGAATACGTTTCCATCAAATGTAAGGATGTGGAATGTATTCCCATCAGATGTGTATGACTGAGCGATCCCCTTTGCATACAACTGTTTCCTCAGTCATACACAAGCACACGGTGTTCTATTGTCCATGGCTCCATGCCTTCAACTGAAAAGACCTCACTCCACCTGGTGGTGAGTTGTAGCCATTTCAAAAATGTCAGTCATTTTTCCCCACCTTGTACAGTACATCATCCAGGTTAACAAGATCCATTTCTGTGAGTTAGGCAGAGGTTTGCATTCGAAAAATGTCAGTCTCCCTTGGCCACTAGTGATGAAAGCAGCACTTTTCCAAGTATGGCTATTGCATTGCCCACACTAGTTGTGAAAAACCAGCCTAACCTTGATGTTTCTAAGACAATCCAACCACAGACCATTGAGATAGGTAAACCATACCAATAGGTGAAATGGACATCAGAACTGAACAAGTTTATCACCCATAGTTATTAATCATGATAAAAGTCAAAACAGATGTAACTGCTGTCACATCATAACAATATAGTCATCTCACAGTCACTGTACAAAAGGTTGCTGATCAGAAAAGAACAATTATACATAACAACCTTATACCACAAACAACAAATTGCAGAATAATTACATCAACAAACAAGTATTCCCAACATCAACAATGATCACATAATTCTATAGGATCATCAAGATGCATGCTCTGACAATACTGTTCCTACCACTACTATTGTGACCGAAGGGTCGGCACCTCTTTGGTGCCCTGTCAGGATGACACCACCGCGTCTCGGCAGACACNAAAAATAATAATTTATCTTTAAAAATTGCTAAAATTACTTACGACATAACATTCTATAAGACTAAAATTTCGTCTACTTTTAACAAATAACAATTGGATCCTTTGACATTTTATTTCAATGGAACTAAATTCAAAAATAAATTACCGGCATTTACACGAAAATTCTCAAATGTTCAAAACTCTAATTGTAGTTTATTATATCTATATATTGTACATGCAGTTTTATATTAAACAAATTTATATCTGAATTTAGTTATGTTTTAATCTTAAAATGATGCATAAATTAATATTTTTAAGCTTGAAATTTTCTAAATATATTTCGTTATAATCTTATCGACTTATTATCATTAACTCAAATTACGCGAACGAACTTCAAGTTACACCATATTGAAAATAATATATTACGTTTCCATTTTGTAAACAAATAACAATCGAGGAAGTAAATATAGGTCATAAACTTCGAAGGTCATTACTCCGAAAGATTCATCCATAAACTTGGCAACTTGCGTTACACGTTGGCTATCGAGCATCTGAGATGGGTCTGAGAGATGCATTCGCTTTAATATTCGAAGTTATTGACTTACTTTTTAAATCCTTGTTAATTACAATTCGTGGTTTAATAAGATTTGTCATTCCCACTGCGAGAAAATCGGTAAATGATGAAATCGTCTTAATTACCGGATCGGCACATGGTTTAGGAAAAGAGTTAGCCTTACAATTTTCAAAGTTGGGAGCGATCGTTGTCCTATGGGATATTAACCAGGTAGGATAAAATGTTGTCTTATTTTATATGAACCAAATACATATATAATAATAATATAGTATAAAATAGTGTTGTCATTTTTCAATTACTTTATTACAATGCTGGAAGTCTGTTAATCAATACTCTAACCTGACAGGATATTCAAATAAATTAATAATTTATAATTCACTATAATGTTTGCTCTTCTGTTAAATCGCAACTATTTTTATAGATAACTAGTGTTTAACATAAATATATTTTATTTAGTGTTTTCTAATTTAAAAATAATAATAATAATAATAATTGAAAACTTTTAATCCAGTCTGAGGATACAATGTATAATCCTTGGTTCCTATTTACAAGTTATTAAAATAAATAAGTGAGCATCAAAAAAGTTTTTAGTGTTTTGTTTTGAATTGTTATATGTGTATGATAGTTCAATATTGAAATTGTTATAAAAATTCAGATGTGTTATTCATGTTAAAGAAAATTTAATATAATATATAATCATTAAAATTTCAATAATATGAATATAAGAAAAATATTAATTATGAAGATGATATACTAGCCACTGTGATAACTAACTGGACCAACAGTGGGATCTTAGAAGAATGCCAGTTTTGACTTCCAAAATCTGAGGATGACTCATTAACTGGTTTGAAAACGATGTTCTAATATCCCAATGTTAAAGATGCAGTAATTAGTTGAGTAAATTAGACATAATTTGATATAGTTTTATAAGTAAAACTTATTTTATACTTTATTAAGTTGATTTTTCATGTAGCAAAATTATTAATTAAGATATATTCATCATTGTATTGATACAATAGCTTACACTTTAACAATGTTTTGGAAAATTCAATGTAAATATTAATAAGACTTTAATTTTTTTAAATATTATTATTGAATTAAACATTGTTTCATAAACCATGTTTTGTTTTTGGAAATCATTTTAAATTCAAATTAAAATTATGTCCATTACCTTAATCATGAATCATACATCAGAAGATTTGCATATATGAATAAATTTATTACCATTCTGCTTACAGAAGTTATTGAAAAATCTTTCCTTTTGGACTTTATCTGTCCAACTTCAGAATCCAAAAAATCTACCAAATTCTAATTTGAATGTTCTACCATATTTGGAAAAGCCCTTCAAAATTCGGATCTAATTGTGTTTGTACTCATTCTGAAATGGTTCATCATCTAACTCTCCTTGTTGTTTACTATAAATGATTGCATTAGCAATGACATAGTCCTTTGTAAAGAATGAGTAAAGACTACTATGATATTAGTAAAGAACAAAGTCACTAAACAACTTTTCTTGTTATAAAAGACTAAGCACCTGAAAGCACTTAAACTTTCCTTGTTTTAAAGGACTATTAGTGACTCCTGTAAACAGAAAGATAATGTTTCATTTATGTTATGGAGTTAGTTCATTATTCAAATAAATTCATTCATATTATAGAATCTTTTGAGCATTTGTTCCATTCATCATCAGATTATAAAACAACTAAGAGTATGCTTGCATTGTATCTTCATGAAAAGTGCAAAAGATGCTATAAAAAAAGCATTTGATATATAATTTAATTTTTTCCTGTAACAGATTAATTTTATTTTTACTATTATGATTTTCAATTAATTCTAATTGTATAAGTAATTTTGTAAATATGTAGATTTGTAATTGTTATGAAGATGATTCAGAAGTAAAAGGAAAAGTTAAGCTGTTATTAAAAGTTGAAATAAATCTTTAACAATTTGAATTGTAATTATTACTATTATAATTTTCATCTGCGTGGTCTGTGTAATTTTTATGATATTTTTAAAACTAAAATATCATAAAATAGCAAATAATAAAAATATTTGCATTGAAATAAAGGCATTTTTTTTGTCTTTTAGGAATATTATAAAATTTTTCCCTTGCATTGTATTTGAAACTGCAGTTGAGGGAGGCAGTTGAAAACATGATTTTATTTATAAATAATAATAACTACTAATTATATGATTATTTGCTTTTTAATAGGAATGGAATAATGCAGTTGCTAAAGAAATTAAATTGAAAAGTGGAATAGCATTCAGCTATCAATGTGATGTTACAGATGAAAAACAGGTCAAAATTTTAGCTCAGCGTGTCAGACGAGAAGTTGGAGATGTTACTATACTTATTAATAATGCCGGTATATTACAAGGACATCCATTGCTTAGTCTCAATAATCAACAGATAAGAAGAACAGTGGAAGTAAACCTTCTCTCTCAATTCTGGGTATCTAATCTAATTATTTCATAACTTCAGCATTAGTAAATTTAAAATGCATTTTGAATTATTATAAGGAATTATGTTGTTTATATTTAGAGAGATAAATTATTCTATTACATTTTATAGACAGTAAGAGAATTCCTTCCTCAAATGTTAGAGTTAGAACATGGCCATATTGTGGCAGTCTCGTCCATTGCTGGATGTCGCGGATGCATCAACATGACTGACTACAGGTAATAAAAAAATTTTTGAAAAAAAACTAAAAGTAAGTTGGAATGATTAGTGCATAATTTCTTTTCATTTATTAAAATTTAGTATCAAAAAGAAAAAAAAGTAAAGAAAGATATTGCAATTAAAATATGTATTTTAAGAATTTCCTAATCTATATTAGGGAAACAAGAATAAAAATTAAATATATTATGCAAAATGTTAATAATATGTAAATTATAAAAATTAATGTATAAATCATTTATATAAATAAGAAATTAAGAGAAAATTGTATTCATGTAATTGGTTAATACAGTATTTGCATTGGATCTACACATTAGATTCATTCATTTATTATGTGAGTAAAATATTATTTTCTTGGGTTAATTTTCATTTGAGAAACAAACATGAATCCAGTTAATTTTCTGGGAAATTTATTATATTTTGTTTATTTTCATAACAGTAATTATGAAGAAATTTCATATCAGAAACAGTACACAAATTTTAAAATGTAAATAAGATGAAAATTAACAAAAAACTTTCATTAATCCATATTATATAGCCAAGTCCCTATAAAGCAATATTTAGCAAAACAACAAAAAATATATTTGTAGAGAGATTTACTGTTACAACAAAGGTTTTTTAAAAGGTATTTCCCTTCTGTATTTATCTTTGTCCTACTACAAACAGGCCTATTTCTTTAAAGTTTGACAATGTTAGAACAGAAAAACATAGTCTTATTGGGTGTATTATTATTAACAAAACATTTAGGTGCTAAAACACTAAAAAAACTCTAAATCTAGCAACCTGCTCTATTGATGCCTACTGACTATAGGTAATGTTTGTGCTGAAATCAGTGTATTAAGAGAATACTAAATTTTGAATTAACAAAACTCACTCAGCAAATAATAAACCACACAAATACACCTTAACTTGCTGAGAAAATTTATTTAAATGTAACTAACATTTTCAGCCTATCAATAGGCCATCCTCAGGTTAGATAAGAAAAAATAATGGTGTTCTAAAAATAGAATATATAAATTCAAATACAAAATTAATGGAAGAAGTACAACAAAATATATATACATGTTTAAATATAAGAGAAAATAATAATCAGATACAGTGGTACCTCAGTATACGTCTGTTTTAGAATATGTTTGATTCGGAATACGTCCTGTTTGGATGAAACAAATTTTGCTTGGTATACGACTTAATTCAATTACATGTGCCATCTATGAACAAGTAGCACTATTGGTGTACTAGACCAGACTAGGTGTTCGTGATGCCACAGTTTATAACTTTGTTAAATTTCTTCTGATTTTAATTTGTAAGTAAAATTTTATTATTTTTATTAATCATGAATTGCAGAAAGACAAATGAAAAGCAACAGAAAACTAAAAAAAATGACTAGAATCACAATGGAACTGAAAAAAGAGATTATTGAGAAATATGAAGGTGGCATGAGTGTTCAAGATTTAACTGTTGCATACCGTATTCTGAGAACGACGATATCAACAATCGTGAAAAATAAAGACATTATTAAATCTGCTAACGTTGCAAAAGGGGTTAAATCAATTTCTAAATAGAGATCAAAGACATTAGATCATGTTGAGAAATTGGTTTTGCTTTGGATAACTGAAAAACAGTGTGCTGGTGACATCGTATCAGAAGCAATTATTTGCGAGAAAGCTAAAAAGATTCATGCTGATCTCATGAAAAATCAATCAGGAAGTAGCCAGGAAAGCGAGGTGTTTCAAGCCAGCCATTTTTTTTTTTACATGAGAACGAATTAATCATTTTGACATTACTTCTTATGGGAAAGGTTGGTTTGGTATACATCCTATTCAGTATAAGTCCAAACATCAGGAACGGATTAAGGTCGTATACCGAGGTTCCACTGTATAATATTATATATCATATCTGATTATTATTGGAGCAGAGAAGAGTTTGCAACCACTCTTCTCTGCTCCAATGTGAGTCTGTCAGCCATGGATACTAACAACCTGGAATAGAAAACAAAACAAATAATCTGGAATAGAAAACCAATCTGGAAAAAATCCAATCTGGAATAGAAAACAAAATAATTTTGTTTCGTTTTCTATTCCAGATTGTTAGTATCCATGAAACATCTTAAGTTTCATTAATAATGTTTAATTAAAAATTAAGATTGTTCACATAATTTTGACTCACCCTGTACATTACATTATTCAAAAAATGTTCTCTTTCTAATACTTGTTTCATAGTTTAAATTTTTAAAATTCTATTAATATTGAAAGATGGATCATCATATCTTTTAGTTTTTCACTGTGCTTAGAGCTGTGATAGTCCAGCAACATTTTCTCTTATGTTTATTACTGCTTATTCCAGTGTTATTTCATGAGCTTTATGTATGGTCAATGAGTATGTGATCGAGATTGGAAATTGTCTTCTTGTTCAATCCACATTGTTATCCTTCTATTTTGCTTGCATAAGTGTAGGAAATGTTTCATTTCTTATGGTCGGTCCCATATACTTATTGAATTTTATCATATTTCCAGTGGTAATGAAGCTGGTTTCTTTCCTTCTCTGTATAGAATGTTCAACAAACATTTCAAGAGATCTGTTTACTAGGCCAGCATTAACCCATAGATTTTTTTTCTCATCATTATGCAATAACCAATAGATAGATATAATACTGATTGCAAGCCTTGAGCTTGTTTATTTATCTTATGCTTTTTTTGCAAAAATTCTATTATGTTTCACAGAAATTTTTGCAACCAATCTATTACTTTTTGCAAGGAATGATTTGTTTTACGATGTAACCATTTTGTTTGTAGGAAATAATCTTATAGAAAAATTTAAAGATTCCATATTTGATGAAGATAAAATTGCCTTTTTTTTTGTCATTAATGCTTCATATTCTTGCTACCTTGTCTTAGCAGATTTTTTTTCATTCCAGGCATCTTTATTTTTAAAAACAAAGCAAAAAATAGAATAATTAAACAAACAAAATAGTATTAAACAATTTACCTTTAGATCAAGTTGATTCCTTGATATGAACTCTTGATAGAGTATGGAGATAAATAAACACAGAGACCAAAATCCAGAAAAAGAAATTCAGAAAAAAACAATAGAAATTGAAAGCATTGTAAAAGAAATTCACTAATAAGAATTTTTGGAGAATGTATCAATAGATGAATAAATAGAAGTATGTGTAAAGGAACAGAAACAAACTATTTACATATGCCTTTTTACCTTAAATAACATGCATATGTAGAAAAAACACCATTGGTTTAAGAATTAAGTCTTTATAATATTTTATTTAACCACTTGACCAATTTCTACCAAAACTATATTCATCTCATATATATAAATAAGTTATTCTGAAAATTTCATGAATTTTGATTGTATAATTCTTTAGTTATTATGTCACGCAACCGTGGGCTTTCTGAAATTAAGGAGTCTTGCTTAACACTCAGATTAAATATGATTCAAGTGTATTACTGGCTTATACAGGGTTGGGCAGAAAGGACAGACATTTTTAAAAAAATCACATCTGTAATTGTTACTACAAAAGATACTTGTTGGAAGAAAGTGAGCTTGTATTAAAATAGCATTTTACAGAATCAAGTGTGGAAAACAACATCTCCCATGTGGTGTCTGTTATCAGTGATATATTTCTGGAGACAATTTTGGCAACTTTCACGGGAATAGCTTTCTTCAGTTCTTGCAAAGAACAAGCTTATGCTCATTTACACATGCCTTGAGGTGTCCTCACAAGAAATAATTGCACATGGATAGGTTGGGCAAACAAGGAGGCCAATGAATGTCACCTGACCTGGAAATAAGGCAACCAGGGAAGAGATGATGAATAACGTCACTTTATGCTCTAGCTGTATGGGCCATCACCTCATCCTGTTGAAACCATACATATCTGATGGGAATACGTTTCCATCAAATGTAAGGATGTGGAATGTATTCCCATCAGATGTGTATGACTGAGCGATCCCCTTTGCATACAACTGTTTCCTCAGTCATACACAAGCACACGGTGTTCTATTGTCCATGGCTCCATGCCTTCAACTGAAAAGACCTCACTCCACCTGGTGGTGAGTTGTAGCCATTTCAAAAATGTCAGTCATTTTTCCCCACCTTGTACAGTACATCATCCAGGTTAACAAGATCCATTTCTGTGAGTTAGGCAGAGGTTTGCATTCGAAAAATGTCAGTCTCCCTTGGCCACTAGTGATGAAAGCAGCACTTTTCCAAGTATGGCTATTGCATTGCCCACACTAGTTGTGAAAAACCAGCCTAACCTTGATGTTTCTAAGACAATCCAACCACAGACCATTGAGATAGGTAAACCATACCAATAGGTGAAATGGACATCAGAACTGAACAAGTTTATCACCCATAGTTATTAATCATGATAAAAGTCAAAACAGATGTAACTGCTGTCACATCATAACAATATAGTCATCTCACAGTCACTGTACAAAAGGTTGCTGATCAGAAAAGAACAATTATACATAACAACCTTATACCACAAACAACAAATTGCAGAATAATTACATCAACAAACAAGTATTCCCAACATCAACAATGATCACATAATTCTATAGGATCATCAAGATGCATGCTCTGACAATACTGTTCCTACCACTACTATTGTGACCGAAGGGTCGGCACCTCTTTGGTGCCCTGTCAGGATGACACCACCGCGTCTCGGCGGACACGGAAGCCGCGTTATTTAGGTCACGCGAGCGGTCGCGTAACGGAGCGATCAGAGTCGAGATAGAAGGAGAGACAACGCACCGGAAGTGATTTACTCAGACGCTTTTTAACGTAACAACTGTTTAATGGTTAACGATAAGCTATACATTAGGGCTGCTGTTAGATACATTGCTCGCTTTAATAGTATTAAGATATTAAGATATTACGTTTTTACCCGTTTTGAGAGAGAGAGTTTACAGAAGTTCGCGTGTCAATAATTACCTTGTATGAAATCCCAAAAGAAGACAGTTCTGGACTCAGAAAACAGAAGACACAGTTATTAGGCGTGGAAATATCCAAAGGCGAAGAAATATCCAAGGGCGAAGAAATATCCAAAGGTTAAGCACAGGGATAACTTGCGTGGTCCGATCGAGGAACTGGTGACGACTGACTCATTTTGTTCTCTGTTTTTCATGTTGGATTGTTGAAACGGAGATATTAGGTCGAAAGGTGCTGAGAAAGCGTCGTTATTACGCCTGAGAACTTAGCAGATGTTTAGCTCCCAGGTGTAAAAGTTGACAGTTTTCGAATGAAATTATGACTACAATGTGAAATGATATAAACACACGATAAGTCCGAATTCGGATCCTCACGCTATTAATTAATACTGATGCTGATAATATTGCCAGAAATAGATTTAGGTTTAATTCATATTCTCTCTTTTCTTTTTCAGGAAGCACTCAGTAAATATACAGGCACTGATTCTACACAACACATTCCCAAACTCATCACTTCTAAACTAGTATGGAAAACTCTATAATATGTGAACACTTATATTTTATCAGATTGCATTCTTTCTATTTCTACACTCTCAGAAATTCACACACTATTACACTATGCTGGTGCAGTCACAGTAGTGACCTACATGGACTATAACTGCAAACACAAATCAAAAATCCTTCAGAAGCCTGCCTGGCAAAGAATAGAAACACAAATAAATAATATTAGATAGAAACTAGGAAGGCTGACACAATATGCTAATAACAAAACAACACCTAAATTAATGAAATAACTAAAAAATTTTGAAGAAAATTAAAACACAATGACTTGAACAATATAAAATTTTCTCTGTATAGAAACAACAAAGTAAAATATTCACAAACAGTGAAAAACTCTTCTAAATACAAATTAATATCAAATTCNCACTGATTCTACACAACACATTCCCAAACTCATCACTTCTAAACTAGTATGGAAAACTCTATAATATGTGAACACTTATATTTTATCAGATTGCATTCTTTCTATTTCTACACTCTCAGAAATTCACACACTATTACACTATGCTGGTGCAGTCACAGTAGTGACCTACATGGACTATAACTGCAAACACAAATCAAAAATCCTTCAGAAGCCTGCCTGGCAAAGAATAGAAACACAAATAAATAATATTAGATAGAAACTAGGAAGGCTGACACAATATGCTAATAACAAAACAACACCTAAATTAATGAAATAACTAAAAAATTTTGAAGAAAATTAAAACACAATGACTTGAACAATATAAAATTTTCTCTGTATAGAAACAACAAAGTAAAATATTCACAAACAGTGAAAAACTCTTCTAAATACAAATTAATATCAAATTCACTACTGATTCCCAACACAATGGCATGCTAACTGAAGAAAAACTCACAAATTATTGATCTTCTCTTTGGTCCACTGCTCTCATGAACAATGCTGATGCAAACTGGATCAAAGAGGAGAGCAAAGACATGCAGAACACCTCTAGTATGCATTGTGTTGAAATAAATGCACAAGACATCCATTATACAATTCAGAAAGCACACAACTGGACAAAACTTGGTGTAGATAACATTTACAGTCACTGGTAGAAAAGTCACATCCCGTGCCAGGAACTAGCTAAACATTTAATGCATATCATGAACAATCCACAAGACATGCCAAAGTTTCTTATGCAGAGCATCAGCTACATGAAACCCAAAAACAACACCAAAGACCCAGCACAGTACAGACCAATTACATGTCTTCCAACACTTTACAAGATTCTTACCTCTTGCATTACAAAAAAATATATGATCATATTGACAAACTCAACATTCTTACAGAACATCAAAAAGACTGCTGTAGAAACCAGAAAGGTTACAAAAAACTACTCATTGTCTCTGTTTTCCTATCTATGGCAATTACATAAGCAAGACATGGGATACATCAATTACAAAAAAGCACTCCATAGTGTCCCACACATTTGGTTGTTGTACATATTATGCATCTACAAAATACATCCTCAACTCATTAGTTTCCTTGTTTCACTGGAAAACAACATTACATCTTAACTTCAATAACACTCAGATAAAAATCAAGTGAGGAGTTTTTCAAGGAAATTCCTTGAGTCCTTTTTGGTTCTGCCTTGACTTAACCCTTTATCTAAGACATTGAATAGAACACAATATGGTTACAACATCAGACACAACAAAACAACAACTGTTTACATTATTGCACCTCATATTCACATGGATGATATCAAACTTTACTTATTCACACAGGAACAGTTTCATCATCTCTTACAAATTACACACACATACTCTAATGATGCACAAATGGAGTTTGGTCTAGACAAATGCACTCCATATTGGAAAAAGGAGTTCTGAAAAAAGGAGACTTTGTACTCAGAAGTAGAGTTATTATTGAGTTTATAGAAGAGGGTGAGTTTTACAAATATTTAGGATTACAACAGGCCAAATTTATAGAACATGTACAGATAAAACAAAGATTAACACTCAAATACCAGAAATAATTAAATGTAGTATTAAGAACACACCTAAATGCAAAACATACTATTAAAGCAATTAATATATGTTTTCCTGTACTCACTTATTCTGTTGGAGTTATACACTGGCCACACACAGACTTGAGCAACTCCAAAAGAAAACAAGAACAACACTTACTAAGCATAAACATTATCACCGAAAATCATCCATAGAAAGACTAACTCTTCCTTGTAAAGAAGGTGGCTTGTAAAGATTACATAAAGCTAGAACTCTGGCAGACAGTAACAACACACCATTAAATGTATACTCTGACATAGCTCAGCACATAAATAACATAGACATCATTAAGCAGTCATGGGCCCAAAAAGCACTTTATGGCAGGCATGCCTGTGACCTAGCTCAGGACTATGTTGGCAAAACTGCATCAAACTACTGGCTTCTGTAGGATAGATACATTACTCGATGTATGTACAGTATATACCACACACATATGCATATATATGGATTTATGGATGGTTGGTTGTGTTTCTAATTATTATTATTTTAAATAAATCATTCTATACAAATATATTTTTTCATATATATTTAATGTGTTAATATGTATAAAAATTATCTAGCTCAGTGTTTCTCAACTACTGGTTGAAGATTTTTGACACAAATTTTTGAGCAGTTGAAGATATTTTAATAGTCCATACAAATTATAATCCAAAGAAATTGTTTGATGAAATAATATTAAAATTTTAATAATAGATGTTTTAAGATAAGCAAATTATTTTTATTGCTAATTTTGAGCTTAATTTGTAAGCAAGTATTAATATTTCAGTCATTGATGTGTGTGAATTATATTTACACATATCAGTGCTTGTAATAAGTAAATATTCTTTATACTTATTATTATGTATATTGAATTATTATTTATTTATTTATTTTGTTTATTTTGGTGATTAAAGAATTGTGTGTAAAAAATAAATTTTTTACTGATCCAGTGATCAGTAAAAATTTTCTGGTAGAAAGTTTGAAAACAATATATTCTAGGTTGGTACCACTGCTCTAGATGATTATATATACTGTATATATATTGATATATATATATATATCTAGAGCAGTTGTTCCAACCTAGAATAAATAAATTAATAATAATTCAAAGATGCTAACTAAAATTTTATTGTTTACATTAGTGCTTCCAAATTTGGTATTTGTGGTTTAATGAATTCTCTAGAAGAAGAATTAATCTTGTTAAAGAAAGATCATTGTATTCATCTTAGTACTGTTTATCCACTAGCAATGGATACTGGGTTGAGTCAACGGCCATTAACAAGGTAACAAATGTTTATAATAAATTGATTTTACTATATATATAATCATTTTACGATTTATCTATATTAACTTAATAACCAACTGACAACATTAAGCAGAGTAAGCATATAAGATTATAATTAATAGAAATTTTAGTTTTGTTGACTCATATTAAAAGGACATATTGAAACAATTAAAAATTGTATAACTAAGATTTATAAATAATTATTATATTATTGATGAATTCAGTTGATACTGATGCCTTATGGTGTGATGGACTAAGATCAAGGCTCCAGAAAAAGTTGATGTTTGTTTAGTGCTATTTGTATATTTTTGTGTTTAAGAATTTCTTATGTTGCATGTGTTTAGTATAGTTGCTTTCCATAGTATGATGTATGTACTGTTAAGGCCTAATGTTTCTAGACTTTTATGTAACGTACTGTACAGTACATGGTATGATGCTGATGTGAGATGTTAAGTACAGTAGACCCCCCCCTATAACGCTTAGATACGTTCCACATTAATTGAATTTTATGTTGTAGGAATCGTTAAATACATGAGCCAATTGCAGCTCGACACGTGTGAAGTTTACGGACTAAGGCTGTTTGAAAGGTTTTCTTCTATAAAATTAACCGATTCTAGACTAATTCCACTCAACATTTCCAAAACACATATAATTTTTTGGGAATAATCCATATAAACTATGCTATAAACAAAAAATTGTAGGATTACTTACCGAGTGTGCACCGTTCGACTACGCCGTTGCTCAAGCTTGTTTTCGTCGCGGAACAGCGCACGAAACGGCGGCCGCGATTTCTGATAACGAATTTTTCGCAGAAAAATAACTTGACCTTTGGAGACATCATTAATATAAATAATTTTTATGGCCGTTGAATAAGAAGTGTTTCTTTCACAAGAAATGTATAAAATTAGTGCTGTATTAGACTTACGGTACCTAATTTACATACTGTACAGACGATAATAAACTCAACTTACTAGCCTAAAATCTCCGTAGCGTGTTGCCAGGCGGCAGAAAGCATATATATAATTATAATAAAGTTACAATAAATTAAGTTAATATATAATTATATATACAGTACCTAATTTATATATAATTAATATATAATTATATGTACAGTACCTAATTTATATATAATTTATATATAATACTAAACAGACGATAGCAAACTCAATTTAGCCGCCTAAACTCTCCGTAGCATGGCGCAGGGCGGAGGAAAATAGTTCGGCTGCTCATCCACTATTGGTCCAGATTCTATCAATCTTTTAGGAGTTCCTTTATACGAATATTGCTATAATTTTTTCGCTACGTTATAGGAATTTCCGTTATAGGAACCCATGTTATAGGGGGGTCGACTGTATGTCATCCATTTTCCACAGGCATTTTATTTTGCAGTTGAGTTTTAGTGTTTTCTAATTTTTTGGTGTATGTAATAGCTATTCTGATCTATGTGATTGGATGCAATTTGAAAAAATTGTAGACTTATAAATTCCCACTGCCATCCATCCGTCTTTTTGTAATCTTGAGAATGGAGTTAGTAGATGAAATCTGAGACCAGATATGGAAACCTTAGAGGCAGGATGTCCCAATTAACTATATACAAACTTCTGATGCAAATCAGAAGTTGTTATTTCAATTTAAAACTTTTCCCCTGAAAGCAGTTAATAGATGACCAGCACAATTCTATTGTTAAAGGAAAAGTATGATGTACAGCAACAAGCCACTACTAATTTGAGGTGGAAAGCATATATTTTAAATTAAATAAATTAAAAATATGATTAAAAATTGCAGCTTGACATTGTGATGATGTTACAATAAATAAGAGACAAAACCTTTCACACTTTGTTTCTAGCAGTTTTAATCCATAAGAATATAAGAGTCCATAATCCATAACAATAGCGATATCTTCTAAACTTTGTAATTATCAATGATGTCACTAGTAAAAAGAAACCTTTGTAAACAATGATGTCATTTCAATATTTGCTAACCAATATTCCAACTGACCTTATTGTACCTGAAGAAGGCCATTCAAAATGGCCAAAAACATTTGCTCTTATGGATTAAAACTGCTAGAAACAGTGTGAAAGGTTTTGTCTCTCTTATTATAAGTAGTTCTAGCTTTGTGTGCATGGAAGTTACAATAAATAATTGCTTGTTTTGTTTCATTTGTCAATTACTGTAATTCTAGTCTGTTATAATGAGGAGTTTTGTCTGTCATTATGACTTGATCATAGTATATTTTGAGTATGCTGTTTTCTAAAACTGTTTGTAGTGTATATTTATAATAAGGTGGCTGGGCGTGTGTAATAGTTTGTGTTTGTATGAAAGCTTTTCATTATATTTGCTACTTGGTTATGTAATGTAAATACATTAATGTCTGAAAGCTTGCAGATTGATATGTTGTATACTTTTGTATATGATGTGATATTTTCTACAAATACCACCATTGTGCATTTTAAAATGTAGTTTTTATATTTATGATCTGGTCTTGAACAGAAATCATGAACTCTTCCATCTCTCTCTAAAAAGACTGCCCACCAGTGGCCAAACGGTTCCATTCCCTGAACACTGGTAGTTTGGTCATGGATTCTAACCTTTCCAGGACAAGCTGGTCACATGGAGTATTTTTGGTTTTCTCCATGTCTTTAATGCCTAAATAGGGACCAGTTACTCTTAAAAGACCTCCCAGAAGGCATCACCCCTAGACAGATCATCTAGTGGTTGCGTTGTGTTGCGTTGCCGTAACTAACAAAACAAACAACTGTAAAAAAGGCCTCTCTGAGCCAGACAGAAGTTTGGTGTAGTTTTATCAATGTGATTCTGGCTAAGATCATTTATTAGAATGCCTGAGCCCAAGACTGTCTAATGGTGTCTATATACAGTTATTGTTGTTTATCATCATCATCAACTTGCATATTTTGGAGAATGCTAATTCTGATGACATTTCATTATATATATAAAATATTTCCTGGTAAACAAAAAAACTTTTTTCAAATATATTAAATCTTCTAATTTAAATTGATTAGTTTCATTGGCATTAATCTTTTCAATTTTTAATCACAATATGAAGTTCACTGATTAGTTCAAGAAAACTATTAAATAAATGATTCTTCTAAAAATTCCATAAAGTAATTAATGAATTATTCATTATGATTTAAAAATTGAAAAACTTTCCTGGTAAACAAAAAAACTTTTTTCAAATATATTAAATCTTCTAATTTAAATTGATTAGTTTCATTGGCATTAATCTTTTCAATTTTTAATCACAATATGAAGTTCACTGATTAGTTCAAGAAAACTATTAAATAAATGATTCTTCTAAAAATTCCATAAAGTAATTAATGAATTATTCATTATGATTTAAAAATTGAAAAACTTTATATTAAATTTAAATTAAGTGTTCAACTATCATTAGATATGGCATGTAATCTTCATAATATAAATCAGTAATTAAAAATATTATACAGTTTAGTATAGAAAAAACTAAAACCAATTCTACATGTCAACATTTAAAAAAATTATTTTCTATAAATCATTCTATAATGATATATGAACCTATTTAGTAACATTTAGCAATTTATGCTATTGCTAACTTAATGTAAAATAGGTCCTAAGAATAATAATAATAATTGTTTAATTACAATAAATTGTGTTGAATAGTTCTATATTCAACACAATTTATTGTACAGTGGTACCTCAGGATACGAAATTAATCCGTTCCGAAACTGAGATCGTATCATGAAAATGTCGTAAGGTGAATCAACTTTTCCCATACGATTACATGTTAAACCAAATAATTCGTTCCAACGCGAAAAACATACTCAAATTAAAGCCAAGTAATACATTAAAAAAAATAACTGTAGTAAGGAAAACAAATGAAAAATGCGAACTAATGTAACGTCGTATGGTGAGTTTTTGTTCGTATCGTGGGGCAAAAATATGTTCGAATTTCATGTCGTATCCTGAAAATTTCGTATGCTGGGGCGTTCGTATCCTGAGGTACCACTGTAATTAAACAATTATTATTATTATTATGTTTTATCATACTTAATTTTTATCTTTTTGTTAGCATATTTTATTTTTCTAATAGGTTTATTAAGTCTATAAAACTTTATTGTATGTGTATAATATACAGTATATAAATAATATGTAAGAAAATAACAATATTTTATAATTATTTTGTTTAAAAATCTTGACTTCTTCAAAATTCAAGAATCTCAAAAAAATTTTTGTAATTAATTTTTTTGTAATTTTAATTGTTGTTGTGAAATAAAAACAAAAAATGTTGAAATTTATTGTAAATATGTATATACTTGAAATTTATTACTTCATTTCTGTATTTTTTACTGATAAAGTTCAACATTGTTTTGTTTTTATTTCACAATGCATTCCTTACAATATGCAGGAATATATTATAGTGTACACTTAGCTGGCTCTTAATAATCCAGTTATTATAATCATGATTTATTGAGGACAAGTTGCAAATTTGACAATTTTGAAAGACAGAATCATCCTCTGATGCTTCTCACATATAGTATCAATTATAGTATGTTATTGAACACACTGTTCACACCTTCAGAATAGGGACTACATTGAGAAATGTCCCCAGCATTGCTAAGGTCTCTGTATAAGTGCCTTATACAAATAAAATGTTTGTTGTTTGCAGTGCCAAAAATGCTATAGTGCAGTGTTTCCCAACCTTTTTTGTGCTATGCCCCACCTAAGCCTTTCTAAAATTCTTATATGCCCCCTAACATATACAGTGGCTATACAGTTAACTTAAACTCTGGACAAGTCCCCTTTCGAATTGCCCCCTGCGGGGTGTGGGCCCCACATTGGGAAACACTGCTGTAGTGGTACAAATTGTTTTCTAATATTTGTTACTGTCCCTTGGTTGATTCTGTTTNTATAGTGCAGTGTTTCCCAACCTTTTTTGTGCTATGCCCCACCTAAGCCTTTCTAAAATTCTTATATGCCCCCTAACATATACAGTGGCTATACAGT